CAGTGGAAGGGATCATCAACATGACTTCTAATGGTAAAAACCTACTGAGACAACGAAGCACTGAGTCTCTTGATGAACTCGGGGCTACTGTGGTAAGCTTCGTTAATTGGAATTCCTCAGGGGTACAAAACGCAACTACTGCCTCGATTAATCTTTGACTCTATTAATCGGTTGATAGAAATCTTGCATTATCTCACCTGAATTAAGTTGMTTTAAGCTTTGTTTTTATGACCAATGATGTTGCTYGGCTGTTTGGCGCCATTTCTACCTTTTACAATCATTTATACTGTATATATACAGTTACAGCGGCCTATACTCACTCGCAGCATGACTCGCTATTACCTTTTTTTTGCTTTTTAGTACTAATAACTTATTAATATTAATAATCAATAATTGTTATTAATATCTTATCTGTAGATAGGGTAGATATGCTTTATTTCTTGAGTTCTTGAGTAACTAAAACTTTAAATCTGTTAGAAAAACATGAATTACCGACTGCACGTGACTGTCATAGACAGCAACAAAGAAATTGGGAAGTTTGCGTGACAGGGGCACTTTGTCGTAAATATCATGCTTCGGCTTCAGCTCTGGTTTTAAGCACGGAATATTTTAGTTAAAAAAATAATTTCAATTAGTAAAAATTTAGATTGAGTCATTATGAGTGTGCAAATTATTGTACTGTTTGTTGTTATAAACTACAATATATTCTACGCGTTCTGACATGTCCTTTAGTTTTAATCCTGTGTTGACTTCTCACTTCCCTCCCTTGTCCGCCAAAAACTACCTGAACGTAGCGTTATGTGCAATGTAATCCATGTCAAGGACTTTATGACTCTGTTTTTGTTTATGACTCGGAGTCTCCCAAAGTCATTTCACAAAGATTTAGTCTTAAATTGATGGATTTTGATATTGCTGTATTGCTGTATTTTATAGCTTTATCGGGCTCCCTTTAATAACAGATGCACATCCATGCAATCAACTGATGGGAACACCCTGAAAGTTTTTTTAGTCATTCATTCTCCTTCGCATCCGTTTTCGTTTCKGGYTTCCTGTTAGGRGACTAACAAAGATTTAGAATCTKATAGGTTGTTTATTGATTATCTTTCTGTTAATGAAAGACAAAAAGTCACAAGTCGATCTGGATCAAGAAGAACTTTGAGAAAAGAGAATGTTCGAGRTTTATCCCAAAGAAACGCGGACAAGACATGTAAGTTATCTAGTTTATAAGTACTATGTCGACGTTACAGCCGCGTGACATTATGCCGCACAGTAGCCTGCGTAGCGGCTCTAGGGGAAGGGGAAGGGGGAATGCAAGGGGAGGGGGGTCGACGTTACGGGGCTCACGACTTTCGGAAAGTCTGATTAACACACTGCTCATAATAAAAGAAAATTCGTATTTTTTGTAACTCGTGACCTCAGCGTCGCAGTCATCGTATAACTATTACCCCAACCTGCATAACTTCTTCATATCATACTCA